ACCAGTGTTGGGCAGTAACGCATTACTTAGTAACGCGTTACTGTAATTTGATTACTTTTTTAGTAACAGAGTAATTTAATGAGTTATAATTTTCAAAATAGTAATTAGAGTATAGTTACAAGCCGAAGTCTCTATACGTTACTGCCGCGTTACACTGCTGACAGAATACAGTGTTTTATAATCTAGAGCAGTGTTTCCCAACCTGGGTGCCGTGTAAAAAATCCTTTTTTAATAGTTTTAAATTGCTAAAATGTTCAAAAAAGCAGCTATTATATAATATCCATTTCTGATGTCGCCAATAATTAGAGATGCACTGAAAATTATGAAAGATTCATTATGCATATACTGTATTTATTGTGTTATAACAGAGATTTGTGAGATTGCGATGAACTGAGATGTCTTTTAGAGATTATAAATGCAGCGCTCTTTGCTGGCATTCTGCTATGCCAAACCATGTATGCAGCCGCCGCTTGCTTTAGTTAAAAATAACAGTGTTCTGTTAATGTTGATGCTTTAATAACAAATATTTATCGGGAGCGTGTATGCTGGGATTTCATAAATTTAATGGAGAAAAAAGTAATGTAACTAGTAATGTAACTAATTACTAATTACTTTTGAAATAAAGTAATCAGAACAGTAGCGTGATTACTTTTAAAAGGAGTAATCAGTAATTTGATTACATTTTCAGAGTAACTTGCCCAACACTGAGTATCATTAGCAGTAAGCCAATATAGGCCTACTTTTTTCATAGAAAAATCATAGAACTATACATCATGTTTAAGATTTTCCAAGGTTTTCCAAACATGGCTTTATCTTTAATCAAACTGAAATTACAATTGATATTCTGGCATAAATTAACTAATAAACTAATCTATTTATCATTTTCATTTTCTAGCTGTCTCAGTCTCTGTGGAATCCACCTTGACATATGTGTTTGTCTCTGTAAACCTTTTCATCTTTATCATGGTTACAGTTATTTGTTTTTCTATTTGTAAGCAAATTCGACAAAAGAAAACAGCTGTAAGAAACTGAATGGATATAAAGTTGCTTTGTAAAGCTTTCTGCATAAAACATAATTTTCTATACTAAAATTTAGACTGCACTTAAACTCAAGAATCCATGTGTGGTTTAAAATATTTAGATTTATGTTGGCACCAATGGCCTCGTGGGCAGCGTGCCGACATGTAGCGTTGTTGCACTTCGGGTGTCCCAAGTTCGAATCCTGGCTCATGGACCTTTCCTCACCCCATCCCCTCTTTCTCTCTCCCACCTCGCTTCCTGTCTGAAATACTGACCTGTCCTAATAATGCCAAAAATATATCTTTTAAAAAAAATTAGATTTATAAAACTTTAGGCATGTCATGTTCTGTGTATATGTTGTTGGCACCAGTGGTCTCTGTGTTAGGCTTACCAGACAGCCCTGAATTGATTTCAATAGGTCAAAGAAACTTTTTACCATACTGTTTAGACAGGACTAAAAGCAAAAGAGACGAAAGAATGATAATTCACAACAGATACAAGAGCATGTCCCATGCTTGGTGCCTAAATTAGAGCTTTTACAAATTGGCCTGAATTGTTAAATTGCAACGTTCACCTTTAGTAACTAAATTAGCCTCTTGCTTTTAGTTTGCACTGCATTGTGGTTACTGTTTATGTGATTATTTTAGCACTCTTCACAGCAGATTGTGTCTTATCTAGTGGTACACATAAATAAAAACAATCCATCGGGACAATTTTTTGCATAATTAAATCAGTATGCCTAATTATTTCCACATGTCCATCTAAGCTTACATAAAAATGTGAATGTTAAGGTTTTGAAATAGTATGAAAATAAAGTTTCTAATTATGCAAACATTTATTTTGTGATTTCTTTTTTATATTGCACCTAATTCTGCAAACGTTCTTGTTAGTTTTGTTATGGTCCTTGCATTAAGTGACATGACATGTGGCCAAGTATGGTTACCCATACTAGGAATTAGTGCTAATCCCATCCTAAGTGCACACACACAGTCGTGGTATTGAAGGTGGAAGAGAGCGCTGTACATTCACTCCCCCCACCTACAATTCCTGCCAGACCTGAGACTCGAACTCGCAACTTTTGGGTTACGAGTCCGACTCTCTAACCATTAGGCCACGACTTCCCCATTCGATCAAAAAGCATTTGATTACTTATAAAGGAATAATAAAGCATTGAATGATTTACTGAACACATTGTTTCCAAAAAAGTCTATTTGTCCCAGGCAGGTATGGAGGAAAGTAGTTAAAACATCTAAAACAAAAGTAAAAGACATGTCTTTTTAAAAACCAGGCCACTCCTCGTCATTGTCCTCTTACTATTCCTGCATTTGTTAATAAAAAGATAATAATAATAACAATACCAATAGTACACTAAACTGTATTATTATAATATATACAGTTATTATAATATATACTGTAATATTATAATGCTATCAAAGTCAGTACATAATATAAAGGAACTCAACACTCTTTGAAGTAATACCAAGGTGTTTCAGATATAAGAGGTTGAAATAAATATACATTGCATAAAAGATATTTGAAACATTTTTATGTCAAACGTTACAATACAGCTGGTAATTTATAAATTATATATATATATTTAAAGGTACAACCTGTCAAAAGAAAATTTCCTCTTCACTAAACCAGGTCAAATAATCCCATCTCCTTGGAAAGCACACAAATGAGATCTGAACATGGCACATCAGTGTTTCAGTAGCTTTTACCATGGCTCTTGGCAAATACAAACTCACTGACTGAAAAACTGGTCCAACCAGCTAACATCAGTCCAACCTAATGTTCCAAATGAAAGTGCTTCCATTATCAGTTTGTCCTAATCTGGTCAAAGGCTGCATACATTCAAAAGTAATTCATGTCAAACCTCCAATCCTGCTAATTACTATAGTTTTTCCATCAAACTCTACAGTTCTTTAGGTATAATATTTGACAACATGAAAACCTCACAATATACAGGTTTAGCAACATGTTTTATAGCCAAGGCAAGATGTGGCATGTTTATGTCAGCAGTAAAAGGCAAACATAAATCTGAGAAGAGGTCTCATTTGTAAAGTGAGCTGTGTTTTGTATACAAAGCACAGTTAAAATTAAAACATTCTCTCGGTTCATTGAAAAAAAAAAACAAGTTTAACCACCTATTCCTGTTCTGTTAAAATATTATGGACAATGAAGCTTTTCATTGTTACTTAAAATTATTATTTTCAATACAGTCACCTATGCTGTTCTCAAACTGAGATAATCAGTGTACTTTTTTATT